TATTTTAAATAAAAAATTAAAATTTTAATTGATTTAATAATATTAACAGTAACAATATACCATTGGTGCTTGTTTGAGGACACAAATAGATCTGCTAAATTGACAAACATAATTAGGATGCTTTGGGTCATTGAAGCCTAACGGTTGAGTTATATAGATTATTTCTTTAAGTTTTCCATGAAAAAATAACGAAAGATGTTAGAAAAATTGACCTGAACCAAGAAAAAGAATTGAATTTCTGATTTTTTTTAAAAACATTTTCTCTATAATGTTTTTCCCAATTAGACTGGATTAAGTGGCTACTATTATTTTGTTGCTTTTTACCCTATAGAATTGGCATAGTGAATGTGAATGGTATGAATAGCTTAAACCATAAGCTTAGAACAACTCCACATGGTGATCTTTCTATTTTCATAACTCTATTTTGCCCCCATAAACCTAACTTTTTTTTTAATCAACCCTTTATAAACATAACTGTATATTTATTATGGACAAAATCTTCTATTATTGGTGGTAAGATTTAGTTTCCTGTTCTTATCATAGAGATTTGCTTGTAATTTTTTTTTTGTTTTAAAATAAATTTCGTGACCATAAAAAAATGCACTATCAAAAAAATAAAACAAAAAATATATATTCAGTAGTTTGCAGCTCTGAGCTAGTATGCCAATGTATATAAACAAAAATTGAGATTAACATAATTAAAATTAATTAATTATAGACATACCTTAGCGTTTAGCTTGAGCTTTGCTTCTGAATGCTAACTTAGAACTGAATCCGGGTAGTGGAGATGCGTTTGAGCAACAGTACCTCTTTTTCTTTTTCCTTTTTTTTTTTTTTTCTTTTTTGAAGAGGGAACAAGAAAGAAAAATATATATCTGAAAGGATAAAAAGGAGAATGTTTATGGTGAAGAAATGATGAAGAATTTAGAAGTTGGGCAACTCAAACTCAAGAACCGTAGAACAGAGAGATGTTGATGAGCGACACGCAAAGTCTTTGGGTCTCCCCACTGGAAGCTGTTGCATATATACAAAGAAACAAAGGTTTAGATTATTTGTGCCATCCCAAAAAAAAAAAAAACAAGATTGAAATTATTTGATTCGATTGCAAATACATTCCACTGTAACATACCACCAAATAAGACATCAGAAAGGGTAGAACCAAAGAAAATCAGACATAAAATTATTTTTTGGGTTTTTCTTAATACAAATGTTTAAAATATAAGTTAAAAATATATTTATTATATTTTTTATTAGGGGTGTTCGCGGTGTGGTTTGGTTCGAATTTTAACATTTTTTAATCAAATCCAATTTAATCGGTTAGTAAAATTTTTAAACCAATCCAATCCACTATTATATGTAACCAAACCAATCCAATTGAAATCAGATCGGTGTGGTTCGATCGGATTGATCGGTTTTTAACATTATTAAATATATGAAACAATGTAAATAATTTTAACATTAAGTAAAAAACATAAATATAAAATACGTTAATATCCAAATAAATAGAAACATAATTAAAAAAAATATAAATTATAAACAAATTCTTATACTCTTTTACAATTGTAAAATTTGAAAAGATTTAGAAATTATAAACAAATTCTTAAATCTTTATCTTGATCTCCAAGAATACCCAAAAAAGGGCTGCCACCAGCCTCCCAAGCTCTCTTAATTCTAAATTTGGATGGGTATTTATAAAGTTTTAGAAACCCTAATTGGAATAGAAGTAGGATTTGAAACAGAAGTAGGATTTGAAACAGAATAAGAAACTTGAATGTTGGACGCTGAATGTATAGTACTGACACCCTGAATTATGTGTCGACACAAAACAAAAAATAGAAAGTTTGATTCTGAACTATTAACCCATGGTGTCGACACCCATATTATGTGTTTAAGAATAAACCCAACAAAATGAAGACGACAACCTTGGCAAGTGCAC